AAATGTGTTGAATATAATAGTGAAGTGTTGAGTGGGAAAGGAGTTGAGTGAGGCGTGTAGTCCGGAGTCGATATCAAAAAATTTGTCACCTTTTCGTGTTAGACATGATCACAACGATAATGCAAATCATTAGAACATTACATAATCTCGGAGTAAACTAGCCTTCAAAAACGCCCACCATTTCAAATACAAATATGTTATCCAATTTCATAACATTATTTTCAATTTAAAATAGACAAGCAAATAATAACTACCGTTACTACTAGTAATTAGGTAGTACGGTATACGGTATTCTCACATTTTAAACTGAGTATTCAGTAAAATTAAAACTTTTGATATTAAAATGAAAATGAAATTAAAAAATTAGTCAGACTTTGCTTTCTACCAAAAAATGTTTAAAAACAAATTCTACAGAATTGTTTGCCAACAGAATCGGACAACAGATATACTGAAATTGTTTGAATGTGTGTGCGTTTATGGCTTAATGAACTCATTTGAATACCTGATGAGGATTTCAAAGATAGTAAATACTCTCCGTGTCGGGAGACTAGCAGTAATCATACATCTCATAACTTATATCATGCACATTATTTACAATAATCTTGCGCTCGCGTTATAACTGAGTAATTAGAGCAAGTCTTTCGACACGAAGTTTGTTAGTCTACTACCAATGTTTGACACCCTGATCAAGCATTTATGAAAGTGATCCTGGTTATGCGTACCTCCAAACAAAAGGAAAAATATAACAACCAATTGATAAATTGCATGTCCAATGATATTCTTCATCATTGTTCGCGATATGAGTGGTTTCGTGCGGCCGTACGGCTTGCGTAACAGTAGCGATGAGGTCGGCATCTCTGTAGCCAAGGCTAATGAGGCTAACGTGTCCATTATCAGGTTCACCCACAGCATCTGAACCGCTTTTAGTGGACTGTCCTGTAAGGTTTGCCGTACAGAATATTCCGGGTTTCGTATATCACGTGTTTCGGGTTCAACGAATCGTATGGTGTGAATAAGGTATGTGTGGTGTATATGAGAGAGAAATGGTTAGAAAAGTGCGGTTTTAATAATAAATATCATATAATAAACAACTAATTCTAATATATATGGTTATGGCGTGGAGTGTATGGTTCAGCCGAAGGTATGGCCTTATTGTCAGACAAAATGGCTATAAATAGCAACGCATAGAGCGTGCGAGCGATAGACTGCTCGAGATTCGTATGTGTTATATATAATAATCAGTGGATTCTGTATATTCTGTATATATATTCTGCTATAGCAAAGGCGCGCACGGTATGAGGGAATGGTAAGGCAAATGGATATGGGGAACGACATGGCAAACGACATGACACACACAACACAGACCTCTATAGCACAGGCGCCGACAAACGCCACGATCACTGCCACGACATTGACGGTGAGCTGGAATTGCAAGAACTTGGCGATCGAGTCGTACACATTGCGCCCCCACATGACCGCCTTGACGATCGACGAGAAGTTGTCGTCAGTCAGTATTATGTCCGACGCCTCCTTCGCCACATCCGTGCCCGCGATGCCCATCGCGAAGCCCACGTCCGCCTTCTTGAGGGCCGGCCCGTCGTTCGTGCCGTCGCCCGTCACGGCCACCACCTCTCGGTTGGGATTCAGTTTGCTTTCGATGATGTGCTTCACTAACACGTACTTATCCGACGGCGA